TAAATATTATTGGTTTAGGTTCTCCTCATTATTGGATGATGCTTAGAGATGTTGATGCTGATACATATTATGTTCTTTCATTTGTAAAAGGAAGCAATTGTTCTCATAAAGTGAGATATATGTAATATCTGAAACTAATATGTAGGTGCTTGTTATTTGAACAAGTCCAGTGAATTGACCTGCATGAGAATTCCATATAGAGAGTTACCTGAATTTATGAAATATTTAAGTGATGGTTGTGACTTGAAATTACTAAGTTGTCTTGTTTGGGGATAATTATGTTTTGATTTTTCATTCACATTATTCATTAATGGATAATAAGCAATGATTGATTGAACATAGTAGGAATTATATGGAGATACTTGTGTAATTAAGATGAGATTCTTCACCCTAGGTAAATTAGGAAAAATATTCTAATTATTTTCTATTAGTATTGATTAAGAAATCTTTGCGCAAGGTAAAATGAAATTAGCAAATTAGATTTGAAATTTTATTCAAATGATCAATAGCTAAGATTAAGAGAACTAACATGATTTAGTAAAGCATACACACTCCATGCTTACTAAATCATAACATTAATAATGAAAAGATATTAATTACACTGATAAACTATGCATTAAAAGGTTGACTAAACCACCATTGACTTTCAAAATATTTGGTTAGTCGTAACATGTTGCTAGACAATATTCTTGGCCTTCAAATATTAATTAATTAGTTAATTATAATTGTCGCAAACATATTTGGAATATAATAGGTCACGCACATAAGAATTGATATGAAAATGTAAAAACGAGAAATCAAATCAAGTATGACTTGATTACAAATCAATTTTGGGACTTTAAGGATAAATTTGTAATTTATATTTAATTGCAACTTTACTTAAATTATTAAGTATTGACTTAGCTAATTTATGTCTAAAATTTATTGTGATAAATTTTATTATAAAAAAATCTAATATTTTAACTATCATTTATTTATTTAAATATTTTAAATAAATATAATTAATTAAATTGAATTGAAAATCCTAGTAATATGTCCTATGATTTATTTATTTAAATTGTTTAAATAAATAAATAAGCACATATATATTTTAGTTATAATATTTATTTATTTATTTCATATGGCTTTCATATATAATATTTAAGAGATAGTCTAAAACTAGTTGTTGATTGATATCACAAAACTAAACATAGAGCGTAAGATAGCTAGTACCATCTTACTCTCTATTCTCTCAACTCTCTAAAATAGTTTTAGAGTCTTTCAATTACCTGTTCATGTGGATACTACTAGAGGCCGGACAAAGGAACCAATGGGGGCAATGCGCCAAATTTGAAAAAAAATATTTAAATAAAAGTAATATATAATTGAGTCTCCAAATTATGTTTAAATTGACACTTAGGTCCTTTTGCATTTAAGAAATAATTATGATGTTCTTAACTTATGTTTTATCCCACTATCGAATTCTTTCATCCAAAAAGTTTGAGTTCACACTTTAGATGGAAGGACTCAATTATGAGAGGGAAATATAAATTAAGAATGTGTCAATTTTAACATAACTTAAAATTCAATTATATATTTTTCTTTGAATAATTATTACTAAAAAAAACTAAAATCTTGATTATTTTTATAATTTGTATCCGTTTTCTAATTATTGGTCTTCAAGCTTACTCATAATTGGTCTACTAATTATTAGTTTCTCTTAATGCATTATGATTTAGGAAGTTTAAGAAATTAATTTTAGATTATATTATTTAACTTAATTATATATTGTATTCAACCTAATTGGAATATTTAATAAATTAATTAATTTTGCAATAGAAACATGAATTTTCTGTTGTATCTAATTATAACATTTTAATTATTATAGTTAGTACAATACTTTAAAAGAAAATCAACTATTGCAAAATCATTACCATTATTAGTCAATCATACTATTCAGAGTTTACTTGTTAAAATATTCATGAACTGTTAATGACTATTTGATAATTTACATTGAAAAAGATGTATTCGCACGTATTGACAATATAAATATATGAATAGTTCAGTGAATGAAAAGTACTCAGTGATCATTATAATTTAATGCTAACAATTTATTTTCTTTTTTAAGGATTCTCGTCACTTGTTTAATTATATTTATTTATATTATTTTTATAAATTATATATTTTATTTGGATCCCCTCAAGAAATTTTCTAGTTACGTCACTTATCCTAGGCACTCCAGTTTGAAAACTTAAATATATTGGCATTCAATTTCAAATTTGACCTAGAATTTTGAATACAATATTATAAATTTCAAATTTGATCTAGAATTTTGAATAAAACATTATAAAGTGGAACCATAATATAACCTTCGGTTATCTTAACCCAAGGCTATGAAATACACACCTCAGCCTCCTTGTTCTCTCCCAAACATAAAAACCTTCTCTCCCAGCCTCATTGCAGTACCCATTAGCCATTATTCACCCAGATTATGGAAAAATATGGTAAACCAATTGGTAAAAAGTTAATAAAATAAAAGCTATATTTGGTTCAAGCAATTTATCAAATATATTGAAGGCTAAAAAATGAATGTGGTTATTTTATTCCCGTTAACAAAACTGGCTTGTCAACTTTGCCTTTCAAATGAATTAGACCGAATATATAAATTCACTCTTAATTTTATTACTTTAACCTTGTAACAGCCTCGACTTTTATTTTAACCCATCAAAGACTTCAATTTATAAAACTGCATCTATTAAACACTTCAATTTTAAAAATTATTTTATTAAACACTTCAACTTGCAAAATTATATCAATTAAATGCTCACTAAAAAATTGAAATATATGAAAACTATTATTCCAAAAGTCATGCTAACTACATATCAAGTCTATATTTTATAGATAAAAGCCAAAAACCTTAAAAATTATTATTATTACTATGGCAAAGTATATAATATTACTAAAATTTACAAGTTTAAGTGCATGATAAGTAAAAAATTATTATTATTACTATGGCAAAGTATATAATATTACTAAAAATTTAACAAGTTTAGTGCATGATAAATTTTATAGATAAAAGCCAAAAACCTTAAAAATTATTATTATTACTATGGCAAAGTATATAATATTACTAAAATTTACAAGTTTAAGTGCATGATAAGTTATTCGCAAAGTTTAGGGTGCTACAAGATTAAAATTACAAAGTTCAGGAGTGAATTTATGTATTCAACCAATGAATCTACTATTAATCTTATTTGTAAATTTTACAGTAAAACATTTATTTTTCTAAATGAAATTCCCAAAGGATAAGCTAAACTAAAGCTTCTTCTCTTCTTCTCACGCTGCTTTGCATATATCACCATATCCCAGAAAAAGAACTTGTCCATAGAGATTTGAAAGGGTCTGTTTCAAACTGAGCCTTTGCTCTATCAACAAATTCTCTCATCGCGTCTTATACACGGCTAAAAACTTAATCAAACCGGAAACAGAGCATTGCAGATTTTTTCTCTCCCCATTCTTCATCTCAGCTAGGGATGGAAGTGGTGCGATATTTTAAGTTTCTCGCCTTGCTCCAGTTCATTTAAAGAGGATATGGATTGTTATAAATAAATTTGAAACGAGTACAAATAGTAAAATTACTATTTATAATAGATACAGGTAGGGTACGGGTGTAGGTCATTTGGGTACCCGTTACCCGTTATATTAAACGGGTTTGGCAGTGAGTATCCACGGGTATCCTATTGATTATTAGTAAAAATTGTATTTTGAATAAATTTAGATTTGGATAGTTTAAGATTTGCAGATACCATATCTGTAAAAGGGTACTTTAAATTTTGAACGGATATAGATAGTAAAAATTTAAATAGATTTGAATACGAGTACTTGAATGGATATTTAAACGGATTTGGGACGGATACAAATATTCAAATTTTAAATAGATACGAATATAGATAGCTTAAAATTCATAGATACCCGCTCCGCTTCCATCCCTAATCTCAGCCCCTCAGCTTTATTTAACTTCAGAATCCATATAAATAAATCATAGGTACAACAAAAACGAATTTAGCCAAATGTTACCCACTGAACACAAATCGCAGAGGCTCATTTAAAGGAGAAACAAGAGATTCTAAAATGAATTTCAAAAAAAGATGGCTGACAACAAGGAATTTGGAAGAAATAGAGAGATGGGAAATGAGATTGTCAAAAAGGGAGTCAACTATGGACATCGATGGAGCTGGAATTTTGGAAAAGAGTAAGCGGTGGGTAAGTGATACTAAACGGTATGTTTCACAAGCTTAGGGTTAGATTAATTTAAAGTTGGGTCCCACTTTATAATATTTTATTCACAATCCTAGATGAAATTTGAAATAGGGTATCAATATATCTAAGTTACTAAATTGGGATGCTCGGAATAAAAAGTTCAAAATATAGTTATTTTACAACAAGTCGTAAAATTCAGGGTAATTTTTTGACTTAACTTTAGCGTTTTAATCAAATCAAAACTCTATTTTTATTAATTATAGCATTGGGTAACATAGTATTTATAATAATTTTTAAAAGTTGAGAAAACTTTTTATGAGAAGTTAACGTTTAACTTTTAGTTTTTAATTAAATTTTTTTGATACTCGTACCCATTATTTTTTCTTTCTAAATTCAACTAATTAATAATTAATATTCTTTTTTATAATTTTAAATTAAACAACTATTTTTAATAAACACTCTTAATTTAAACTACTGTATAAATAAAATAGCTAACACCTAACTCATCAAATAGAACAGCCAACAGCTACAACATGTAATAGCTACAAATTTAAAACAGAAAAAGGTGACAGCGACTAAATTAAAGGATGTTGAAAAGGTGAGCCCAAGTTGAAACTAGGCAGCCCGTATTTTTCATAGTAGATGGCTATCCTGCGATTTGTGGATGCGAGAGGAATTACCCCACTTTATCCATTCAAAACCAACGTGGCAGAAATCCATTGAATGATAACCCATCCACGCAATCTTTCTCTTCCACAATATCTTCATCTAACACAAACAAAACCCCTAAAATCCACAGTTTTACGTATTTTTGTTTTGATCATTTTAAACTAAATCGGACTATAAATCATTTTTCTTGAGGGGAAAAGAAGAAAAGAAATGGCAGCAGCATTTGCTACCTCATCAACTGTGATTGGACTGGGCAGTAGCTCTCTATCGTCTCCTCGCAGTTGTTCATGCAGGAGAACATGCCTCAGCTCAGGTAATATTTAAACTTCAACTATTATATATATAAAATGTTCATTTCTAGTTTTAATATTCTAATAAAATATTTTTCAGGGTTTGTGAAATCAGTAGCAACAGCTAGAAATCCACTGAGACAAGCAGGTTCTAATGGAGGAAAGTTCATGTGGTAACTATATATATATATGTATTAATTAATTACGTTTTTTATTACAAAAATATGAGATAATTTTTTTTTGTTTTTAAATAATTGATCAATTGTGGTTGTTGTTATGAGGAAAAAGCTTTGAGAGGGATTGGCTACGGAGGGATCTGAATGTGATCGGATTTGGGTTGATAGGATGGCTAGCTCCGTCAAGCATACCAGCAATTAATGGAAAGAGTTTGACCGGACTCTTCTTTGAAAGTATCGGCGCTGAGCTTGCCCACTTTCCAACCCCTCCTGCTCTCACTTCTCAGTTTTGGTAAGCCCATTTTAATAAGTTTAAATTATCAAGGGTAAAGTATGGTAAAGTATATACTCAATAATTTTTAGAGAAAGGTTTAACTTTTAACAAAAATAAACTTTTGAGACTTAATGTAAATAGATAAAAGTTTATATATGCAATTCTTTTTAAAACAAAAATTAAATATACAAAAGGACAAAGTATAAGGTTCCACCGAGATTTGAACTCGGGTTACTGGATTCAGAGTCCAATGTCCTGACCACTAGACCATGGAACCTTTTGCTGTGTGAGAATATAGATATAAAATAGACTCTAATTGAGTGCTTGAACAGGTTGTGGTTGGTTACATGGCACTTGGGGCTGTTCCTGTGCCTGACATTTGGGCAGATTGGTTTCAAGGGAAGGACTGAGGACTACTTCTAAATTAATTAATTAGTTATATTGTCTCCTTTCACTTGAATTGTAATTTATGCATGTATGATCTTCTTCTTTGTTGAAAACAACCAACTCTCCCTTTCTTTAGTTTATTCTATTGATGGGATGTAACCTGTTTAAGATTATTCCTACATATCATGTGGATAGAGAATCTTGGTCTTAAAAAACTGCCTCAAGATTGACTTCATATATTTAAGAAGGGGTTGCAAATCATTCATAAACTGCACAAGACTTTGTTTGAAACAAAGCTTCAATAATTTTTAAAGCTTATTAAAGATTCCCAATATTTATAAACTGAAAGAGAAATTATAAAAGATGGAATACCTTGCCTGATCGCTTGAGATAGGCAAATTGAGCTTTGACGGAAGGGGTTTTCTCTGTAGAGGTGTTTCACTTTAATGGTGCCTGTACAGTTTAAGGTTTCTTTTCTCTTGTGCTATTATAAGTTGGGCTTGTGTGAGTTATGGAAATTCTTTGGCCCAAAATATTTACAAGTAGATTTTTTTTTCTTTTCCTTTTTTAGAAAAAAATTCTCATCAAATTAAATCAATGCATTAGACTTATTATAACAAGTTAAAAGAAACTATGGACTAAACAAACAAACTAATAAATTAAATTATATTTATTAATTTCAGAATTTATGTTACGTCTTAAAATTATTTAGTATTTATAATCCTTTTTGTAATATTTATACACCTTATATTTTTAATTGTATTTAAAAATTATATATATATCTGATTAAACTGTATTGAATTTGCTTAAATTATCTAGTTCAGTGAATCTTTACTTTCACTGGTTCAATGATCGGTTAGATTCATAGAACATATTATAATACAAATAGATTGGATTTGAAGCAAATATATTTTTTAATCTTTAATTTAATTACAATCAAAGCTATATTTAATTTTGCTTTTTAAGATTCTTTTTAAAGATTTTCTTACTTCTTTGGGTTTGTCTTGTGTAAAAAAAGGAAAATCATGGTGAATGATTAGCATTTAATAGGTGATAAAACATGATTTTTTTATGGATCGAGATTTGAAAGTTTATATTAAATCCGATATTTTTGACTTTTCACAAAAAATTTTAAAAAATAATTGAATCACTTCCATTTTAAAAAATAAGAATAATTGACAAAATTATTTTTGAAATTAATATTTTAGAATTAAAAGAAATAAAATTTGGTGATATATAAACAAAGAGAAAGTTGAAATAAAATAATTAATACTATCTTGATTTTCTAAAATGTTATCTAAGTTGAAAGAAAAAAGTTAAAAAGTATCAAAATCAACAAAACGGATATAATAATATATATTTTATAAAAAAATAAAATGGTACTTACAAAATCAATAATATTTGTTCGATGGAAATATAATAAGTTGTGTTATTTTAGCGAATATTTTTTAAATTTGGTCATAAGTTTTATAAAATTTGATTAATTTATGTTGACGTAGGCCTAAAAATTAGGCCCAAACAAGAGGCTCGAAATTGTAGATTGAAGGAAAATACATTACATAATTAAAAACATGCCAAGAGCGCCAACTAGGCCTACAATCCACGTTTGTGAATATTATATGTACTTAAGAGTATTTTAGACTTTTGCATAGTATGATATAACTATAACTATCTTAGGATATCTTTTTTTTTTTTTCTAGGAATGCATTCCTTAAAACTCCTGTGGATAAGGGGTGATCTCGTTGTAAATTGACTGGTAAATCAATACAACTAATGTGCTAAATATTTACTTTATTTCTCGACCCTTTTCTCCGTTATCCTTCTCATCTAGTTTTTTACCCTCCCGATTCTTTTTATTTTCATCTTGTTTCTCATACTAATAAACATCGATCCATTAATTCACCCTACTTTGAGACACCCTAATAGATGCAAACCCAACGAATCTTATCCACTTTTAGACCAAACAATTTGATTTACCCTTTGTTTGGATGTGTGATATTTCTTTTTTTTTTAAATGAAGAAAAATAATTATAGAAAATATTTAGGATACGATGTTTTTCCTTATTTGAAAAATGTCAAAAAAATATTGAAGGAAATAGTATTTCACTTATTGAAGGAAATAATCTTTATTTGGATGAGAGTATTATTTTTTTTTTTTTTTTGAATGAAGAAAATTAATTGGAGGAAATATTTAGGAAAGAATGTTTTTCCTTATTTAGAAAATGAAAAAAAAATATTGAAGGAAATAGTATTTCACTTATTGAAGGAAATAATCTTTATTTGGATGAGAGTATTATTTTTTTTTTTTTTTTGAATGAAGAAAATTAATTGGAGGAAATATTTAGGAAAGAATGTTTTTCCTTATTTAGAAAATGAAAAAAAAATATTGAAGGAAATAGTATTTCACTTATTGAAGGAAATAATCTTTATTTGGATGAGAGTATTATTTTTTTTTTTTTTTTGAATGAAGAAAATTAATTGGAGGAAATATTTAGGAAAGAATGTTTTTCCTTATTTAGAAAATGAAAAAAAAATATTGAAGGAAATAGTATTTCACATTATCAATTTTCAACAATAACACTTTCTTTCCTATAAAATTTTTTCATTTGCAAATAAAAATATAAATTTATTTTCTTTCATTCATTATATCCTAACGAAATATTACTTCCTACGATTCATTTATATAGACACAACTTACTTTGCACAACGATTAAAGAATTAGTTAAACTATAATTTTTTGGCCAAAATTTTCCTATTTTGCCCCAACATTGCATTAATTGAATGTTTATTTTGAAAGTCAAATACTCCCTCAGTTCTTTTTATATATACAAAATTTTTTTTATGTTCTTTTTATATAGACAAATTTTCCTTTTTTTTTAACATTAAAAGAAAATCCAATGTGAAAATCCCATATTACCTTTGTCTTATTCTTTATGAAAATTTTATTATGGGAGATTATTAAGGTAATGACAGACAAAAGTATAGATGGGTATTAAATGTAAAGGAAATTTGGTGATAGAGTTGTTATTCTTCAAATTTACATTGGAAAAATAAATATGGTCCAATTAAGAAAATTATGCTCTGGTTGATATGAAATTTGAGGTTTAAAATGGCATAAAATTTAGAAATGGAGCACAGTTAAGAGTTATGATTTTAAACTTTGTCTATTTTTTGTGAAGCTACTTCATATTTAAATTCTTTGACAGTTACTCAAGTCTTTGAAAAATTATTTGAGCACTAAATAGTCATTTTTAATGCAACTTTGTCGAATAATAAGTTTCTCTTAAATGCTTGAGCATAACTTTTGTTTTCACTCATTTGATTTTTGGTCAAATTTATAATTTATGCACACATTTTATAGGACATATTATTGTATTTGTCCAAATTTCTGAGCAATTCAATTTATAAATTGGTCCAATTTTTTTAGGAAGCCAGCATATTTACCAAAATTTCAACTAAGGATGCAGAATTGAGTTTCAAAAATTTAAATTTTTATTCCCTAATTAAATTTCTTAATATCCCATTTTGTTAGGAAGAGAATGCATGTATTACGTTATTCAACCAAAAAACATTATTAAATGTAATTTTACATTGTAGAGGAAGAGTTAATGTGATACTAGGGGTATATTAAAGAGTTAATGTGATACTAGGGGTATATTAGGAAAAAAGACGAAAATTAGTTAACTAATTTCTTAATCTTGGTGAAAATAAGATTGTACCTATATAAAAAGAATGGAGGGAGTATGTCATGTCAATTTATTCTCATAAACTAATGACTTATACCTATAATTAAAGGGTGAATTACAGGAAAATCCCACCCATTTTTCCTAATTAACACCAACTTTTACATCCTGATCAAAATTTTAAAATTAGCCCTCCCATTTTTAGTGCAACAATTTTAGTGTGAAATGAAAGTTTAATTTTCATTTAAAAAATTAGAATACTTAGTAAAGAAGTATGTGCAAATTTGAGTTTGGAGTTAAATTTTTGATAGCAACAATTGTGTCTTCAAATTATTTTCAAATATCCACTTATATATAATGTCAGTTCATATCTAAGAACTTGCAAATGAACTACAACAAAAAAATTTAAAGTTCATTTTCTATAACCACGTCACATCTCTTTAATCTGAACCTCCAACCTCCTGATTTACCACAATTTCAGAAAATTTACTCACTTAGACTGTTTGGGGATGAAAGCAATTGAAGATTTTCATTTAGAAAAAAAAAAAAAAAAAAAAAAAAAAAAAAAAAAAAAAAAAAAAAAAAAAAAAAAAAAAAAAAAAAGCTCACATCCAAACAAAGAATAAAAATCATTTGATAATATTCACCCGTAACTGTGACCAAAGAGAAATAAATTAAAATTTTTTTTTAAGGAAAAAAAAAATTGAAATTTAAAACTATATTCAAAGTTAATTAAAATTATGGTCAACAAAACGACCCGTATCCCATGATTCACATATCATCTTTGAACCAATCATAATCCACTTTTCAATGCTAAATTACATATACACGTAACAGTCAAAAAAATTAGCTATCCAAAGATAATTAAATAATTGATTAATGAAATTATATTGACCAAGATTTCGTATTTCAATTTTAGTGATATTTGCCATATATATACTAATTAATTAGTACCATAATTATTACACATATATGAGATCCTATCCATAATATTGTTTCCTTTGCGTTTGATAGATATCCGATGCCATCAATGGCAAACATAAAATAATAAAAAATAAATAAAAAAAATACAACATTCTCCCTATTTTCACTGAAAAGTAAATAAATATTAATTCGCATTTTTGACTTAATAATATCTTTTATGACATGTTTTATCTTGTCTAATGCCTGAAACATGAATTGTATAAGGCCTAGACATGATATTAATCGGTCAAAAGATTCTATCCGCACATTGTTTCATGTGATAAAACAAAGAAAGGACCTTCAAACATTTTTTTTTTTCAACAAATTAAAGTGAATAATTGTGATTTGCTGTTCTGGTTGGCTCAAACTTTGTTATCCCCTGGAACATATGATACAATAAAACTACGTGAAATGAAAAAGGAAAAATTTAAATGTTAATGCAAATTAGATGTGATTTTGCTCCATTTGTTTCCGTAAAATAACTTGTTGAACAATATTTTCTAAAAATAACTCATTTTTTATTTTTTAGTTGTAATATTGAAAATTAGTTTAAAATATTAAAATATTTC